TTAAACATTATGGATAGAGCATTGGCATAGTCCTGCATCAATAATACCAAGGTGCTGTGCGGCCCCTTGGCTCACATCGAGGATACGTCCGGCAACGAAGGGTCCCCTGTCGTTGATCCTCACGACTACACTCTTTCCATTGCAATCCACCTTAACATTAGTCCCAAAGGGGAGTGTTTTATGGGCCGCAGTCATAGCCCACGGATCAAATGGCTCTCCGCTGGCTGTCAGAGCACCGGCCAGATTCAGCCCATACCACGAACATTCACCTTGCTCACCTATAATTATAGGATTAAGTCTTTATAATATTGTTATAATACATATCAACATACCTTTTATACAGTTATATAGTATAAAAATTATTATTGAAATATAAAATATTTTCATTTTAATTAAGTAATATAATAATAATGTGCAATAAAAAAATTATTTTAAATTATCTATACATTATAATGTTAAACCCTTTTATAAGCAAATGTTTCACTAAACTAACGGAAATTTTAACCTTAAATGTTACATGGTGCGATTTCCTTTAAAATGATCTTGTATAGATAATGCGTTACCATAATTTTATTAATATTGTTTGATAAATTATGCCAAATATGAACAATTTAATTTTTCATTCATTAATACAGATTTATAAATGTATTTTAAAATTAATATTGTATATACTTATTAAGGAATTAAAATATTACATAGAAAGCTTACACGATAGTGAATAGTATCAGTATGAGAATAATTATGATTTTAAGTATCTTTAAGTAAACTTTTTAAAAATCATAAAATACATATCTGTTAAACAAACAGGTGACATAAAAATTCCATACAATAATAAATAAATCCCGATAATCTTTAGAAGTATAAGTGTAAAGTGGAAATTTTTAAAATAAGACTTAATAATTTATAATAATTGTTTTAATTAAATGGGTTTAAACATGTTTAAATTAATTATTCAAGTGTTCAAACCACTTTTTGTATACATGTATTAGAACTTACTAAATAAATAGTTTTATTAATTTACAAAGTTTAGTACTTATAATAAGTTTTGTACTTGTAATTTAATTAACAGTAACTGTAAGTATAATAAGTATCTATTAACGCTGTACAGAATGTAAGAAAAAATTAGGAAATTTTACAAAATCAATTGTAAAATCATGTAGAAAATATGAATATGAATTATATAGTAATAGCAAAATATACTTTTATTAACAGTAACAAATTTTATAATATACATAAATTGTTATGAATTTTAATTGTAAACTTAGGCAGGGGTTACAGTACATGGCGCCACCCCTGCGCTTACAATTCCCAGCTTTTCAGCGGCACCTTTAGCCAGGTCCAGTATACGTCCGGCCACAAAGGGTCCCCTATCATTGACAGTGACCACTACACTCTTGCCATTTGCCGTCACCTTTACTTTGGTTCCGCATTTGAGTGTCCGGTGGGCGGCAGTCATCTCATTTGCATGAAATATCTGTCCGCAAGCAGTCTTTTTACCTTCAAAGCCGGGTCCATACCACGAACACTTACCCGACTCACCTATACATACATACAAATCATATTAGAAATAATTACATTATGTATCTTATTGTATCAAAACCTTACATGAAATTACAGCAATGAAAGCGAATATAACTAATAGACCGAAAAGTTTATTCATTTTGAATGCAACTTATGGTATACATTATTTTGTCTAGCAAAATGCTATTTATATAAAATATTGTTTATTTATCTGTGGGACCCGGACACTTATGTTATGATAGCATTTCATTAATTATCAATGTTTAAGTCAATAAAGTGGTAAATGTTATATGAATTTATCATTATTCAAAAGGAAAAATTATTGTAAATATTGCCTATAAACTTATCAATTTATTACAACACTAATAATATCTATTGTTTGCAATTATTTCATATTTTGACACACGACTAGTAAGTCTTAGAAAACACATTTAAACTAACAAAAAACATAACTTGTAAATAACTGATTGTAAATGATTGTAAATAACTTAATATAAACTAGTAACTACTATGTTATATTTAACCCAAACAAATTAGCAATTTATAATTATAAGCGTTTATTCAAGTATAATCGCCTTTTTAATGAAGGTTTCGTAATTTATCAAATAATTATAAAGCAATTTTAATTAATAGTTTTACATTATTAAGTCAATCTTCATTATTTATGGGTTTACAAATATTTTGTGGTTTTATATTAAAACAATTTTTACAGTAATAGAAATAATTACAGTAATATTTATTTATTTATATTATAACTTATAGTTAAATATAATTTATAGATATGAATAATGTTCATATTTGACAATTAAATAAATGTTCACAAAATAACAGAATAAGTAAATAAATAGAAATCTTTAGAAATCAGAAACACATTATTTAAATGACGAGTTTTACCACTAATTATCCACTTTTTCTCAATTCAACCCATTTTCTCAGTTTTCATACTAAAGAACGGATGTCTGAGCGCTTCGTCGGCAGTCAATCGAAACTTGTGGTCAAACACCAGAAGTTTATCGATTAGATCCAGAGT